TGATTTACGGGTACATGTAAGACGTGCATTCTAGACTGATAATTGTAAAGCAAGGACTGAAAAGACGTGATCAATCAGGAACATCACCAAGCCCCGATAATCCATCACGGAACACTCCAGCCTAGATTGATCAAAAGAAAATAAACACACTTAAATACGTATGTCCAGCGGAAAATGACTAGCTTGCAATGCGCAGATACAAAAATGATAATGAATGCATGTRGTGGTTCACAAGGAAAGAGCTGCCAAAGCAAAGAAAGTTTTTTACATATGTTGCAGTARTAGCATTTTGACTTTGACTGAGTATCGTTCGCGTGGACATTTTTAAGTGACCTTAATAAAAGATATATGAATAGAGGTTTGAAACAGTGCGCAATCAACTCTACAAGGTGACTCTACCATTTTTAAAAAGGAATTTCATCTATTCTTTGCCTAAAAATATGGCTGAAGGATGTGGAAAGCGAAAAATCTACGTTATGTTCCTTATGAATATTGAGTACTTTGAAACTGAACTTTAGTTACATGTACAACGACTGATATTCTTACAGAACAATCAAATGGTAAACTTTCCAGTATATTCACCGCAATGTTGCCAGCMTCACTAGTCGTACATGTATTCTTATGTCTGGTAAAGGTCCTACAGCCTAGAGAGAGCTTTGGGAAGTGTATTGTAAAAACTGTATTGTTTGATTCAAAACACAAAGTTTAGTGCACTTATAGTAAATAGTTCAGTGTTTTATAATAAATACGTATGATTCTCATCACATTATCTTTCCTTTTGGTCCCTTTAATGGGATATAGCTAGTCTGACTACATGTACTAATCCGATCGGCCATCTGTCACAGAAAATGCGGTTAAAGTAACCCTGGACCCTTCCTACTGCGAATTGGTGGTGCACATCGGACTTTACACTTTACATTTTATTATCATTTTGATCAAGTATAAAGTTTCCATTGACCTGTAATTAGTTAAAACTATTCAATGGCAGGTCACTGTATTACAAATGTAAGAAAGATTAAATTATAAATATATTATAAATATGAATATATTATATATAATCTCTGTACGCGCTTTGTAAAAGAACGTTTGTCCTCACGAGGAGACTCGACATAAGTGAATTGGAAGTGAGTGAAATAGAGAAATACTGTGAAATAAAAGTGAGATACGTTATGACACTCCAGCCTCATGCATTTGAACCGTGGGAGATGTCAGTAAACAGTAACTAAAACAAAACAAGAACTAAAAAAAAAAAACACTATATACACTTGGTTTACTTCTGTTAGACCAAGCAGAGGAGGCCGGATGCATTTTCAAATATACAGGTCTACATTGTGTAAGTATTGCAGAAAAGTATTTGCATTATGGAACGGTTTAGTGGTCTCTAAAAAAGATATATTAAAAAGATTAATCAGCAAAACAGAAGGACAGAGCAACCTATTTTTAAGTGGCGAACAGCTTATAATTACAACCRAACAAGTTTAGTGAAGAACTCTGGASCCTCTCTTATCCTTGCGCGCRCGGAATTGGAAATTATTAATGAGTCGAATCAACGAAGTCAATTCTCAATTTTTTGGCCCAGTGCCCACGTTAGATTATTTCATTTATTATTTTTTTATATCATTATTTTTTTCATAGTAATTGAGAAAAGGGGTTTAGTCAATCTCATAAAAATAAACATCCAAGGAGCTCAACACAATCAAAGTCGTGGATCAAGTTGGCACACATTGTGATATGCATGTATGTGTAATAAAATTCCTTAAATTATTGCATTAAGTTGCTTGCACAGTTCAGTCCTTGCTCTACCACGTCTATAGCATAAAAGTTAATTAAAGAAAAAATGTAAACTGAAAACAACATTATGGGGACAATAATAACGACAATCATATAACTAATAATTAATATTGGATAATATTTATTGGAAAAATACTAGTTTTGGCAATCACCTATAATTCTATACTTGTAAAGACTATAAAGCTTTGAATATACATGTGATGCTATAGAATCATACCAAATTGTATTTATAACAATACTTTCAGTGTATGAATTGCAATGCTTATGGAAATAATCTCAATACTCAAAGAGCTGATAAAAGGTTAATATCTTGACTTACCCGCTGAAATATTTCCATTTCTTCTTGCTCCTTTTGCAATCTTAACCTTTCTTGCTCAGTCATACGAGGGTTTTGGGGCACAACATAATCTGCCGGCCTGTCTGAGCCACAAACTTCACAACCAGGTCTTGTTGGTGGATTTACATAAGTACAGGTTGCACAACTCCAACCCTGGAGTTCAACCACACTTTCCTCTTGACCAATTCTTTCATTAATGAGTTGATAAGGTAGGCCGCTATCTCCCATTGCCCGGAGAAGGCGTTCAATGTCCTCTATTGACTGGGCCGCTGCAAGTGTTCTTTGTGTGTCTGGGTTTCCAGGTAAGTTAGTAACTCTTTGAGCTGGCACAGGGATCCTTCTAGCAGGTTGAGGAATGTTCTCTTCCCTTTGTATAGGAATTTCTGGGATTTCTTCAGTTGTTACAGGTCCAACAGGTTCACTTGCATTTGTGATTTGTGCTTCTCTTCTAAAAGTAATCCTTTCTTGTCGAGTATTAACGGAAGTATTACCAGATTCTCTTGTTGTGTTTAATGATGGCAAACTTGTTGCCCTTGATAACCCTTGATTCCCAGTTCCCACATTAAGTGAAGACTGTGGTGACTGTGTACCAGCAGTTGGCACGGTCATTGATGCATAAGAAGTGTTAGTTCTGCGATTCTCTGTCCTTTCTTTAAACTGTTCAAATTCTCCACGCGTTAGGCCTACATTTCTACTAGACACTAAATACAAAAAGCATGTAAATCCAGTGCTTTTTATCTTTAAGTCAGCAAGTGTTTCAGTTGGTTTTGCCATCTTATTTCCTATGATCCATTTCTGTACTTTTGGTGGGAATCCATATCGATCTGCAACCTGAATAAACAAGATACATATTACTTTATTTATTCACATTTCCCCCTCCCTCCAAAAAATGCTCTAATACGGTATTCTCCAATTCCCATATGTACAGAGTTTTTAAAATGGAAATAAATACTTTTTTTGTATCTACTTGTTATCATTGTGCTCAGGACTTTTTAGATGATACATATATAGCTACAATCCTGGACAAAAAGGTTGAGAGTAACTGCACTCTTCAGGTCAGTTCAAGAAAACATCCCCTCTACCCCCTCCCCTCCCCCAAAACAATGTTGTTAGCACTCAAACAGAATCCAGCAGGTATGTGTGCTCTTTAAAGTACAACTTTGAGCGAAGGGGGGCGGGGGGAGGGCAGAAAAAGAAAAAATATAGACGGAGACATTTTAACATTCTGCGATTTTTAAAACATTCTCAACTCTTTTTGTCCAGGATTGTAGTATTAATGCCAATTTCTAATGAAATCACTGACTTTTAACATATAATGCCTTTAACCATGTTCAAAATGTACAATCTACAGGAGTATTTAAATTTGTTCACATACTTGAAAATAAAGACACAATAATATTTTCCTCCAGTGGAAGCAATATTAACTAAAAAAGGTTGATTAGTGAATTACATGAACAATCAAAGGAAATGTATTGCTTTACCTCTTCTTGCAATGATTGTATGGTGTCCCTAGAAGATACTTTCATTTCAAATGCTACACCAGAAGTTTCCTGATCTTCTACCACAACTCTGATACTAAAAAGGACATATACCAACCAATATATATATAATAATAAGCCATAAAATACTAATTATTACAGACCCTATAAACTGGTCAAGTGCTAATCACAACAGCTACGGCTAGCAAAGATGCAACAACAACAACAACAACAACAACAACAACAATTCTATACATTTGTACAAAGAATATTGATCTTGAAAGTTCTTTCAACCTACAATCAGCTTAAAGCTAGTCTGGGTACAATAGGTTAAAACTAGGTTATCAATGAAAAATAATAACAACAACAACAACAATAACAGATTATTACTATACTACCAACAACTTGTACCAACTAGTTATTAAAACATCTAAACAACCACCCACTTTAAAACACCTATTAAATAAATAAGATGAATTTAAAAATAACAAGAAACTCACTTACCTAAATGAATCACTATCGCCATTTCCTGTTATTGTTTTTTGATTTTTTAACTTGATAATCAGCTGTGTTTTTTGTTCTGCAATCAGTTTCACTGTATCTACTGCTATTTGTGAATCTCCATTACTAATTGCTTTGGATAGTCTTTCACATAACATTTCTACAAAGATTAAAAACAATCTGGTTAAATTAGATCATAMTGAAGATTTTTAATAATAATAGTTGATAACAAAACATTAGTGATACATTTTGGAYGGCAAATTTTGGTAATAAATCAAAACACTGATTGAAAAAGAGGACTTTTTGAAGGAAGGCTAATTGGCTAATGCTTTAGGGTTTGAAACTTATGGTTTATAAGTCTTTAAAGTACTTTCCTGGTTAATATTTATATTGAAACAAACATTGCAGACACATTTTATGCCCTCACTCTTTTGATCAAGAACTGTCAAACCCAAATATAAAGAACAAGAAAGGCAGTGCTTACAAAATAAAATTGGGTAAAAAGACAATGCAAAACATACCTATTCGTCCTTGAAATGCATGCTGCAAGCCAGCCCTTTGTGCCTGTGCAGGTTGGCTGGCTGGTGCAAAGGATGGTGATGATGTTGGCAAAGTGGTGCCTAAGGAATTGTGCTTTGGAAATGGTTGCGGGAAAAATGGTGAGTTTTTACCTGCATCAGGTGAAATGAGTAACGACTCTGTTATTAGTTTGGGTTGAGGCACTGGAGCCTTTTGTTGCCTCACTACCGGTGGCATCCAAGCTTCTCTGGGYGAAGAAGGTGTATTATCTGCAAACAAAGACAATAAGAGAAACATTAGCTTTCATAGGAAAAATGGTTGGAACTAGCAGTAAACTAGTGTGAGCTGCGATGGTGTTTCTAAAGAAACAATTTTGTAAAAAGGTAAATTTTTGACACTGTACAAAAGACAGGTGAAATAACTCACTGACATTTTGGACATAAATCCTTCGTCGGAGTAAAAAGACAAAGAACTAATGATGAAGGATAAACGTTTGAAATGTCAGAAAGATATTTCACCTACTTTTTTACRCTGTTAAATATATTTTGACAAACTTTTGATATTAAGGATGAGTAACGACCTGCATTCATAAGATAACTGACATGACTCCAGGGAAACAATCAATAATCCCAATGCATTTTTATATTTATTTATTTTATCAGCTTTTTCCTTTTGACCCGTTAATCATAACTGTGGTATCCTATTGTTCACAGCCAGGTTTATAATGTCCTTAATAGTTCTTTTCCATCCACCCAATGAAGGATAGAGAWGTGACTTTTTTGAAAAATAAATAACACATTTTCAGATAGTCCAACAGTTTGTGCATTGTAAATCCAAAAATATAATTGTGCAATTTTGCAGTAATCGTTTATTCACAGWTTTGAAACTGAAAAACAAAACTGGAACTTCTCCTCATGAAAACCCTGCACACACTTTGCTAAGGACACAAAGTGATCACTAGGTCTGGGTGTCAAAAGCAGGCCTTAGGAACTAATGTCTGATGCCTTATACATCTTTCTTTTAATAATACAGATCCTTGTTTGCAATTCTTTTATGGATGGCTACTCAACCATAATATTGAAAGTCAACTGTTTGATTATGGCATCAATGCAAGGTCAACTGTAACTTACCTTGTATACTTCGTATTATAGTCTGTACAACTAAAGCAAATTCCTTTCCATTTGAGTCTTGACTTAGTGTCAATGAATAAACTTTGGTTTTAGTTTTTAGAAGATGATAATTTGTGCCTTGAGCAATTTCATATTTTATATCTCTATCTAATACAACGTTGAGAACAATCTGAAACAGAGAATGGTTAATTAACTTTATATGTTGTTTTGAATCTGGCTCTCATTCAAGGACTGCTTCACAGGCTTAAATGAACAGAATGAAAGATTTGTTTTTTTTATGTAATAGGCAATTTGCATGAAGACGTCAGACACTACCAAGACAAGAATGCTTTGCTCACTTTCTTTTGTAATGCATTAGTCCCAATCGTTCTACTAATCTCAATTTTAATTTAAAAGACTCTGAATGACAAAGAAAATACATTCTGGTCTTGGTAGTATATGATGCTATCGTGCAAATCACATAATTACTGACTTGATTTCATAAAAAACCAAATACAAGATCAGTATAAGAATTAGCATTGCACAGTATTACCCTGCTTAAATAGTGACTTTTGGTAGACGGCGAAGTAGACTGGTGGTGATGATGTGGATATAGTGTGTTGGTAACTTTGTACATGTACAAAATTTACAAATCACAATTATCTGTGATAATATGCATCAAATATCTTTGAAATTTCAGAAATTTCCTCCTGATAATGTAAATCTTGACTTTCACAGTTGAAAGACTAATAAAAATGTGCAAGTCTAAGGAAATCAGCTGTTCCTCATACAGTCATGCAGAAATGCATGGACAACAATTATTTATAATCATTTTATAGCAATTTTTTAAGTAAGTTAAGCTTATTGGATAATATAAGCTTAGTCAGCCTACGAAAAAAAAATTTCCTGGCCTGCTAAATTTGTTTCAAATATTAGAAAACTGTACTTTAACGATTAAAAACGTTTCCTAAATTCTTTAACCCATAGCCAGATAGGTGCTGGAAAAAACGTAATGATAGCACAAATTCCAAGAAAAAGCGATTTGTTTACAAGCYACAATTTGATGCTGCGTCGCCCTCTGTATCATCCATGTGAAAAGATGATGAATATGTAATATAGCTATATTAAAACCACTCCTTAAATACCAAATATCATTTTATCAAGTTTTCTTTCAAGTTTCCTTACCTGTCCTGTACTTTCTGACTTTCCGCGTATCCTATAAACCGTCAAATTCTCTTGGAAATTTTGTCTTAGAAGTTGGACGTGGGCAAGTCCGCCATCAAACAACTCTTTCCATCTATCAAGTTCAAGAACAAATATCACAGCCCTGCAATCGCTGAACACTTGCTCTGATGTATCTTCTACATTTTGGGCCATATTATACGAGATCAAATTGGGGAAATTTCCCCGAAAAACAACGCCATTTCCAGCTACTTCCTCAGTTTGTCTGCTTGCACTTTCATTATTCTCTAAATATGGTCATCGGGGATTCCCCATCACGTGAACATTGTACTAGCAAGATGTCGATAACGTCACGGCTATTCTATTAACTAGATTGATGAATTTT